TAACATTCAATAAAAAAAAGCTGTGCATAATTCTACTTGTTTTGTTCAAGTTATTATAAAATTATTTCTGTACCCTATTTCTTTCTTTTATATTCTTTTATGTGTATCATATGATGTAGTATTATTTCATAAAGAGGAGTTCCATGATAATCATTCAAATGTAGTGGTTTATCTCCTTGGTTTTTCTGTGTGTCTGCTCTAATATGTATATCAAATAAGAAACACATATGTTTTAAATACCATACTGTAACCTAAAGAAAAAATATAAATATGCAAGAACAGATAACAATATCATTATTGTTTGTGTAATCTTTCCACTTGTAGGATGTTTCGCTTGTGGTATGGAAAATGGCTACAGAGTATATAGTTGTGACCCTTTAAAAGAAAAGGCACGTCATTTTAGTGATGGAGGCCTTGGTTATGTGGAAATGTTATTTAGATGTAACTATTTAGCATTAGTTGGTAGTGGAGCAAAACCTATGTACCCAACAAATAAAGGTAAAATACTGCATATACTTTCTTTACTTCAAGATGAAAAGAAGATTATTTATCTTATATGACACTTTCAGTTATGATATGGGATGACATTGAAAAATCTCCAACAATCACTTTAGAGTTCAATGCTCCCGTAAAGGGTGTTAAATTGAGAAGAGATAGAATAGTAGTAATTTTAGAAGGAGTTATAAAAGTTTACACATTTACACCAAATCCTCAACAGATTCATGTCTTTGAGACTAATCCAAATCCCAGAGGCCTGTGTGTATTATGTCCAAATAGTAGTAATTCTTTACTTGCTTTTCCTGGTAGAAAAAATGGACAAGTACAAGGTAAAATTTTAAATACAAAATTTTTACTTTATTGATTATTTATAATAATTAATTTTCTTTATTGCAGTAATAGATTTGGCTAACACAGAAAAGCAACCTTTAAATATTGAGGCACATGAAACACCTTTATCATGTATAGCTTTAAACTTACAAGGTACTAGATTGGCTACTGCTTCGGAGAAAGGAACCTTGATAAGAGTATTTGAAATACAGACTGGCAACATGATTAATGAGTTAAGAAGAGGAGTTAATCATGCAAACATTTATTGGTAAGAAAAATGAGGTACCATTAAAAATTATTTATTATCAAAATGATATCAATTATTTGAGTTTATATAATTACAGCATTAATTTCAATCATGACTCAACTTGGTTATGTGTGGCAAGTGATCATGGAACTGTGCACGTTTTCGCTGTAGAAGATCAAAAATTAAATCGCCAATCTAGCTTAGCATCTGCTACTTTTCTGCCAAAATATTTTAGTTCAAGCTGGAGCTTTTGTAAATTTCAAGTTCCAAGTGGTCCCCAATGTATGTGTGCATTTGGAACTGACAACAATAGTATTATAGGTCAGTAATATAGTGTAGCAATATTTTGATTCCTGAAATTTTTAGCGTAACAATTTCTTTTTTATTTACAGTAATATGTGCAGATGGTAGTTATTATAAATTCGTGTTTAATAATAAAGGTGAATGCACGAAAGACTTTTATGCACAGTTCCTCGAATTAACGGATGATAAAATGTGATTGGAGAACAAAAAGGAGGTAAACTCCTAAATATAATACTTTGACATAATTTATGTTTTGCGATTTTTCGTTGTATATAGTGATTGCTAAACGAATGTTTGAGAGTATATATTTTTAATGCGATCGTTTCAGTATTCATTGGATAGGAGTTTACATGGAATAGTTTATATATGGAAAGTGAATACTGTGTTTGTTATTTGAAGTCACATTATATGGTAGAGGACCAAACGAAAAGTACTATTATTTGTTGGTGTTATGTGCACTGTGCATCAAAAAAAAAAAAAAAAAAAAAAAAAAAAAAGAAAAAGAACTTTACGGAATGCTAGAACATGTTGCTATTGACTTGTTACGTGGGCCTATTTCTGAGATGTCTACTTATAGAACAAATGAGTTCTTAAATGTTACAAAAAAAGAAAAAAAAAAAGGAATTCGACATTCAGAGTTCCATTTGACGTATCGGTGTTAAAAATAATTTTCTTACGTTTAAATTAAAAAATCTTATTTACATAAATTGCTGCAAATATCGTGCGAGAAATATGTTTTGAAGTTAATCCAGCAATTTTCGGTAGCGAATTATACTTAGTGATTCAATCATGTATTTTTTTATATTTATTTTATGAAATTATAAATGTCTCATTTAACGTTGCAGAAAATATATCAGCTCGAACATACTTCATATTTTGTGTCGTAAATATTATAAATTAACATAAAACCATGAAATTTGTCTAATTGTTGAACGTTTTCCATAATTAGCCAAATAAATATATGGGACGTATATAACGTAATCGAGTTTTATAATCTTTATTTTTATGGTTTCATACATTTAATATACATATACACAAGAAATAACTACATTCAACTGTTAATATTGAAATATTACCACAAAATATCAAGGTTGTAGTGTCACAAAAAAGTTGGGATCGAATATAAAATAAAAATAATTACGAGACAAAACTCTGTATTTGTTTGTAATAAAATATCGACATTGATCAGTTGCAAGCAATGTATTTAATTTTTTTCTCTTTTTTTCGAATGTTGTGCGAAATCTCACGACAAACCTTACGCAACATTGGTAATTAAAATTCAGTCTTACACAAGGAGAATATATGTCGCATAAATTTAAACTTAAAGCTTTCAAACCTAGTGTCGTTGTTAATTAAAAAGGATATCACGATTTGTCGTGGCAATGATTGAAATGAAAAATATATTACGATATATGCGTCGTCGCATTTCGATATGCACTTTAGATTTACATACTTTAAGAACAATAACTGTAAGTCTCTGTGCGTTGTTCCGAAATTCAAGGTATAGTTAGAAAACAACGCGAATCCGTCAACAATTAATTATATCGCATGAACAAGAAGTAACACGTATAATAATACGAAGCAAGCTTTTTGTACTGCAGATCTCTTTTGAGCTTTTGTAAAATGAAACGCCTTCGTCGTGTCATGTATAGAGATAAGATGCACAGTGTTTTTCCAACATAAATTTGCCGCGTTTTTCTTCATTTCAACTTTCCATTCGCAATTCTTCGGCAAGGGCAAAGTTTGATTCAAGCCATAGGCCCTGTTGGCTGACCGAGACTGCTTTTAAGACTTGTTTAAAAAACACTGTCACGTTTGAAGGTTATCTCTCAACAACGAGAACCCTCGCAACTGAATCTGTTTCTCTCACATCCATTGTAACGAATAAATCCGATTTTCTGTCGCTACTTCTATACCTTCGTACAGTATCTTTAAACCTCGAACGGTTTGTTCGCGTGTGCCTGAACAGCTTTCGGTTTTTGTACGACCGGAACCGCGGGCTTTTTCTTCGTGCCGTGGAGAATGTGAGTCAGTCCTTTCTTCGTCTCGAGACTTTTGTAAGTACTATAGACCACGAACCACACGTAAGAACTAGTGATTACGAGAATGAGAACGATCATACCTAGAAAAAATGACCCTTTTTACAACAATTTTAGTAAATTAGAAGTTTCTTAAATGATTTGAATTTCTATTTGAAAATATTTCGTTACAGTATTTTTCTTTTTTTCTTTTCTTTTTTCGATTACCAACATACGTTCACAAATATCTGCTTTACCACCGAGGGTAGCAATAAACGGGCAGTCTTGTTCTACTAAGAACAAAGAAATTGTCAATGCCGATATTATCGCCATCATGACCATCATCCAGGGTGCCATACAGTGACGATTATTCTACCGGAAGAAACCATGTTTTTTATGAGAAAATTAGTCCTGTTTACGTTTACGTAAAATGTCATTACCGTGAGCGCACCGTACAAGAGTAGAATAGTCGAACTAAAATGTATCACTGTGACAAACACCCCACAGTACATCGTATAAACTGTTTCTGAGAAAAAGATAAAACTTCTTCAAAATTTGTACACAGTGGAACGAAGACGAAGAAAATGAAATAAGGGTGCTTTTCAATAGATGATTATGATACAGAAAACTTATCATGACATTACGAAATCTGTGATAGTATTTAGATTATAAACACCGGTTGCATTGTGGTGCGCCATATCCATCTTCCTAGTATTTAAGTGGTTAGATAATATATCTTCTAGAGCTTCTCTCTCGAGAGCATCCTCTGTATCTCTCACCACCATTTCCTGAATTCCCATGGCATGTCCTAGCGCCAGTATGCAAAATATCATACTAAACCCAGATGTAAACTGCGTTAGAAAAATGTATTAGATCGGTCGATATATCACTTTGCCTATTTCCTATACCGTGCAACAGTAAACAGACGATTTCGTTATATTTACCAACTGAAACACAGCTATTAACACTGTGCCCTGCTTCAGGTTGAAATAGTGTAAGAAATTTGTCAACAGTCCCACTTTCATTTTGTCTTTTTCAAGAAAAACTCTCTACTTCTATTATACTCCTGAAACTTAAAAGAAAACCAGCGATAATTCGTATTCACCAGTTTCTATTAAACGTCAGCAAAAGAAACGCAACATTAGAATATAACGTTCCATGGAAAAAATGAAGAAAACCATTACGGGTACATGCAATTATCATACGAATTACGAAAACTCGCTGTAACGATAATAAACGTCATCGTAAAAGTTAAACGTGCGACCGTCAGGGTCGCTGCGATCGTGTTGTTCGTGGTGCAACGATAACAACAACACGAAGGGAAAAAAAGGAAGAGGAAGTGTCACTCGTAATTGAGAATGCAGTCGAGCCTCAGCATCGACGTTCCTCGCTTTCGAAGGGAAAGCGAGCGACGCGGTGTCGTTACTCACCTCGCGGAAAAAGGAGCACGGAATATCACTTGAAACGTAGTTCACAATGAGAATCAATAACTTTCACTGTCTCTCGCACGGACGAAAGCGAAAGATTTGATTGTCAGACGAAACGGTGTCACCCTGAAGGATCGAGGATCCGAAACAAGGACCTTATCCCCGTTTACTAGCCCCGAGTAACGAGGCTCGGGTGACAAGAAAAGGAAAACTCAGACGGATGCCTGTTGTCCGTTTGCGTGCGTTCGACACGCAAAACGCGAGTTTACCTCGTCCAGGGGGTAGGAGCGTAACCCCTAGCAGTAGATTGCACGACATGCGCACCAGACCGATCCACTGCCGCATCCTTCAAGGTGCATCCGTTCCCAATTGATCATTGATTGATACTGGCGCAAAATTATTAATTTTCCACCCCGTAGATCTGAGCTGGGGAACAAATCATTTTTCGACGAATTAGAATTGGATGTTAACTTGCGAATTTTTGTGTATCGTTGATATATGTATATTTTATATTGTGAAAAATAAAGTAGTACGATGTTAGGTGTGACAAATTGTTTACTCTTTGTATGAATTCGAAGGACTGTTGTTTGATATATTTTACGAGGATCAGTTTATTTGTCGTTTGGTCGCTTTATTTGTATAAGAAATAAATGTTATTATTGGAAATGTAAAAATTGTAACTGTGAACTTATCTTTTATTTACTGCCGTTCATAAGTATTAAGACACCCATAGTTAATTACAATTCTCCGCCAAAGTTAGTATATCCTATATCGGTAAAAATTTATGTACTGCTTATACTACTAGATATTTAATAATTATCTAATTAATAACCACATTTTCCAACATTTTAATAATTTTATAACGATCGCTTAGGTTTGCTTCGCATTCACTAAGTTGCCTGATACTTATGAACGTAGATTTCACCTATTCCCCCCCAAAAAACTATAACTAAAAAAATAGCATAAAAGGGATAAAAAATTAAAAATACAGATAAAATTGAAGTGTTACATACGATATTTGAATTTTCATAAAACTCATTTCTCTGATATTAAAAATCCAGCTATTTTCGCGTTGTTACATTAAAGTTTCGTATTGTTCCGTAGTATCCAGAAACGTTCTAAATTCTCTGTGAATTACCGATACTTCACAATTCCATTGAAACAAACGCCACTTGATCCGCTTATTGGCAATATCGTGCAAGTTTGAATCGTAGTTGAAAAGTTGGTTCGATCGAGGTTGACTCATCTTCAAAGTAGTCATAGAAACGCGTCGCGGGTCCGCCACACTCGTTCGTATCTCGGTTGTCTTTTACGAATCGTGACAGTTCGTTCGTAGCTGTTTAACTATGCTGACACGTTGATAGCCTCGATATTCGAATCTTTAACAGAAGGTTGCAAAATGGATCGGAAGTATCAGAAAGTCGAGATGGGAGTGGGCGCCTTTCATCATCCGCCGAGAGCAAAATACAGCGAGGAAACGAAAAATTTAATCAAACGTAAGGAAATTTGCTGTCAACTTAGTCCAGCAAATTGTAACTTTTTATCAATCTGTTACATCTCGCAAAGCAAAGACGGAAAACTGATGGAAAATACAGTTTCGCTTAAAGCAAGTTCTTCTACTTTCTAGAATTCTTTCATTCTCATTTCTAATTATATATTCAAGAAGCAAGCAACTGTAAAATGTTGCAAGTATATAAGAATTTTCTAAGTGTTATTTTCTCTGTAATTTAATTCAATTTATCGTGTTAAGTAATACGTTACGAAAGGGAATGATTAAATTGATCGATAATGGGAACGGTAAATTAATTTATCACTTAAACAATTTCTTTTCTACAGTAGTTTATGTTCATTTCTTTTTTTCAATCGATGTTGCGTGAATCTGTAATCCTAGTTTTGATGGAAGAGTCTAAAGTGAGCATGATGAAAAGGAAATCGATTCAAGAAGCGATGAACAAGGGTGAATCTTTGCCGCTTGTGGTCGAAAAGTCGAAAGCGGAATTAAACAAGCACGATTTGAAATATCAGGTATAAATAATAGATTTGAAAGGGGATCGACGAAATATTTCACGAGAATTTCTAAAACTTATCGTCGTAGGTAACGATGCCTACAATTTGGAAAAAACGTACGCAAGATATGATTGTTAAAAGTGGCGCGTATGAGAGAGAGCAGTATAGAAGGACATCTCCTTTGCGTAAGATCTCCTTTGCAAAAGTACTTTTTTTTAGAAATTAGCAGTTACCCATTAAATGTTGCAATTGTTAGAGTTATATTTCATGGTATTTTCGTTATTTAGATCAAAGTTTCAGAAAAATAAAAAATGCTAAATTGTATGTTAAAAGAAACCACGTTCTTACTTTTTATGTTATTGAAATTCAGGTAATAAAGAAAAGCAGAAACGTCATTTGGCGTGCATGATGGCATATGGAAAGGATATGCCAGAAACTCCTCGTGGACGAATAATTCATCATCAAGCAAGACAAATATCACATAATTCTGATACTACCGATCCTATCGACGATTGTGAGCAAATCATCTAAACGATTATGACATATTTATATATTGATATTTTTTTATTGTTTTTTTTATTTTCTTAGTGGTACGTGGAATTCAAGAGAGAATGGAATTTTTGAGTGACATGGAATGTCTTGGAATGGACAAAAAGTATCGTCCTATAATACAGCAAGAAATAGCACATAAACTACGATTAATCGAATCGGTAGACAAACAAAGATCCAAGGAAGTTCGCAAAGAAATCAGAGATCTCGAAAGGCCATTACCGAAACCATTTCCTTTGGGACAGCTGGACGAAAATTAACGGTCTTTTGTAACTTTCAGTCTTTTATATACTTGAGCAATTTGTAATATTTATCAATTTTACCGAACACATTGTCCAGTATTTTGAATAAAGCCAATGGTAGATTTAATAAAAATTGAAATAATGAACCGACGTATTAGCGTGCTTTTGCATAATTTCAGTGACATTTACGCAACATATGAAAAATTATATAAAAGATATGCACACTTTCATAAACAACCGTTATGCATATATGCGGTACATTAAGATAAAAAATATGCAAAAATATGTATTATTAAGCAAATGTATTTAAAACTGCAGAAATGTATGAAAATACAGGAAGGTGCCGTAAATTGAAATATATAAGATATTTGACTAATTTTTCATATTGTGCACATTTCATTAGTCGTTTCAATTTACACACGTGAAAAGATCTGCGATTCATTCGCGAGTATAAATTACCCGTCGATTTTCCGTAACACGAGACCCGAAAATACGAATTTCCCGCGCTCAGAACCCGTAGACCCGCTAGTATATGTGAAACGTGTGAGAGGGCGCATGCGCGGCGGGAGAAATAAGCACCGTGCCGGTCGGAGAAATCGCGCTGGTCGTCAGTTTTGCGCCACACGGCAATGGTGTATGTTGTTGGTGTTTTAGTGTTGTGTGGTTGAAACCTCGCCGACAGATCATATTGTCGCCTCTTCAGAATACGTAACGCGAGTTCATATAAATCATTGCTCCAAAGACGATCACAGACGTGACTGTATTTTCGAAAAGTCGCGGTGCAACGATCTCGCAGGATCCCGGATGATCTACAAGTGATCCAATATGGCGTCGACCGATCTGTTCGGTAAATGATGAACCCGTGTACCGTACGCACCTTTGACAAGGTCTTCCCGAGGTCGTCCAGTTTTTAAGAGCAACGTATATCCCTTTTAGCGTTCTCGGGCGTCGTTAACTCTCTTTCTCTTTCTCTCTCTCCCTGTAACGTTGAAAATTTCCCCCTTACCCTTTGTTTATCCAACTTGTTAACTTCTATACGTAAATTAAACGTCCCATTATTTATACACCGTTGAATCTTCGACAGTTTCTTGAAAACCGCAGATTCGACGAAACCTGTAGAATTCCAACGAAATGTTCGTCAAAGATAGAAGTCACATTCATAAATCGAGGCAAACGCTCGAACGCGTTCAGAGAATACGTAAAAGTTGAGGCGAATTTGATGAAATCTTGCTTATCCGTGTATCGTTGCATTTCTTATCTAAGGTTAATAAGTTTGCACAACAATGATTCCCCGTTTACGTAAATCCCCTGTCGGTTTTAGATAACCGTTCGTCCCCGCGTTGTAATGATTTTTTTTTTTTGTGAAAAGTGAAATTTCCCGCGAAGTGATGTCCTTTTATTTTGCTTCTCGTTACCGCACCGAACCACCAGGCTGCATACCGGCGTTCTACAGAGAAGTCTACGAGAAGATCTGTTCTCCCACGAGTGGAAATGTGGAGCGAGAGGTGTTTAAATCCCTTCTTGTCAAGTCCCAGCTGAGCAGCGCCGTTCTCAGCCAGGTATGTCTCCTTCTCGTCTCCCTCTTGCCTTTTTCTCCGTGTCGTTGCGCGGCTAGCACCGCCACATACAAAGAAGAGAGAGTACCGTGTCTTTAACTTTGTAATTTCTTCGCACGCCGCGCTTAGGTTAATGCCACTGCAGGGTGCGCATTAACTCGTCTTCCGTATCGAATGACAGTTAGCCGTTCGTGCATCCTGGATAACAATTCTTTCTAATTAATCACTCCTCGCGTGTATTTTATAAATTCCATTGACACACAAATGGCGGAGCAGTTGGAATTTCAATTTCATTTAAACTTAAAAATTTCGTTTTTACATTATTTTAAGCTTAAAACTTTTGCTTTTGTATTATTTTATTTTAACTCCTTTTAAACTTAACATTTTGCTTTCTGTATTACTTTATTTTAATTTATAAATGTACAAAATTTTTACGCGATCGATATTTTCATTTTATTAATAAAACAGCTGTTACGCGTACGATATGAGACTGAATGGAGCATTTTCTTGGTACTGAATTACGATGACTGGATGATCATATTATGATGTGAAATGAATGGAAGGTGTTTCTGATTAAGCGTGTTCTAATGGATTTTATACTATTCTAGACAAATTAGAAAATGTATAGGTTCGAGTTATCATAGATCTTTGAATTTGTATGCTGTCGAAATTTTCTAAGAAACGATGAGTCATTCGAGTATAGCTGAGAAATCCTTTCAGTTAGTTGAGCAATTATTTTGTAGTTACTATGCTATTTTATAGTTACTACTACTATTCAGGAAATAGATAATTAACTGGAAAATATTTACATGGAAATACAGTATGCTTCGTTACTATTAAGAAACTACGATCCTTTTAGTGTGCTCAAGCATCCACTGTAATGAATTTTAATTTGTGTATGTGAAAAATAACATATTCCAATCATATATAAATAT